CTGAAAAAAAAAAAATTATTATAGATGAAAATTAATTTTTAAGGAATATGTTGATGTTCAAGAAATACTAAGGGATTTTTAAAATAATACTAAGGGATTTTTTTTTATTAAGAAAAAAGTGGCCTATTGGCAAGTTGCACATTATTCTCGCAATTTAGAGTTTATGAAGTTTTATTAAAATTAAAAAAAATGAATAAAGTGATTAAAATAATTCAGATAAAAATTAAATAACCGGGAAATGATTCTGTAGATAATAGATTACATTAGAAATTGTCTTGACAGAATGTTCTTGTAGAGTTCTTACAGAGTTGTTGTAGGGTCTTTTGGTGTTAGACAATATTGTAGATTATTTAATTTCATGTATTTTTGCCAAATATTTTATTCATATTAGACAAACGGTTTAAAAGTTACACAAAATAATATAAAGAAATACATATATGTTTAAGACCAAGTGCAAGAGTTATACAGTCCATATAAGTAATCAACGCTCTCGAATTTATTAATATATATTAACGACGATTTTAAAGTATACCAAGTTGATGTAGAATTTTATGATGTCAGACAATATAATAAACAATTTAATTTTGTATAATTTTACAAAATACATAACTAAAATCAGACAAACGGTTTAAAAGTTACAAGCGATATAATAAATAAGTGCACTTTTGCCACGTTTTGAATAATTCTGTAATTCAATGGTAAATTTAAAGTATACCGAGTTGCTGTAGAGTTTTATAATATTAGACAACAAATTGAACAATTAAATTTTGTATAAGTTTGTCAAATATTTTAACTACATTAGGCAAATTGTTTAAAAGTTACAAGAGATATAGTAATGCACTTCTATGACACTTTAAATTATTTGCTCTGATAAAAAGATAAATTTGAAGTATACAAAGTTGCTATAGGTCATTATAATATTAGACAATATTATAAATAATTCCATTTTGTACAATTTTTTTAATATACTACTTACATTCTTCAAAAAGTTTAAAAGTTAAAAATTATTTAGTGAAAAATTGCACTCTTGACGATTTTATCGTGCACATAAGGTGACATTGCAATAGCTTATTTTAAAAATATTTTTAAAGTATACCGAGTTGTTGTAGGTTTAGACAATATAATAAACAATTATTTTTTGTACAAATTTATCAATACGTTTGAAAAATTCGTGAAAAGTTGCAAGAGTTCTAATAAATAAATGCACACATGAGTTCTTTACCAAATCACTTATTTTATTATATTTATCTAGCGATTTTAAAGTATACCGAGTTGTTCTAGGACTTTATAATATTAGACAGTATTATAACTAATTTAATTTTTAACATATTTGTCAAATATTTCACTAAATTCAAATAAACCGTTTCAAAGTTACAATCAATATACTAATTGCACTATCAATAGCTCTATTCAATTTAGATTTATGCTGGTTTCAATTGTAATTTTAAAGTACACACAGTTTATACATACACTCCGATATAAAAGTTTCGAATAAAATGACTTTGAATTCGATGATGTTTCATTCTTTAGCAATAGAAAATTCGGGACATTTTTTTGGTTGCTAAAACTAATTTACTTTATGCTTATATATTATTACTTACTTAAAATAATTTATAACTATTACAAATCAATATCACAGATTTTGTATCACTTTAAACACTTTTATTATAAATTGTAACACTAAGAGTCACATTTTTATATAAATTGCACATTTTTTGCAAAAACTATTCAAATTTTCACTACCAGTCTCCAGAAAAAAACTTAAATTTAAATAAAAATAAAAATAAAATTTAATATTTCCAATTATTAGGGAACAAAAAACAAAATTTTTTTATCACAAGCATCCAGAAACTTTATGTAAAAAAAAAAATTTATTTCTGAACCACACTATTTTAATTATATTAAAAAATAATAGAGAATACTAAATTTTATATTTATTTTATTTTATACTAAATAAATTATAAACAGTTGAATACTTTATTTTTTTGTAAATTTAAAATAATTATTTTCCAAGAATATTTTATATCTATATATTTGTAATAATGAAAAATATTTTGCACTAAAATTTCTTTTATATATTATTTTGTGACTAAGTAATTTTTGTTATCTTTAAAGAAATTTTCCATTAAATTGTTTAAATAATTACTGTTAATAGTTAATAATTAAAACGTATTTTTTAGTAATAAATATATAATTAAAATTTTAAATTATACAACACTATTTCATTTATATTAAAAAATAATAGAGAAAATTATACTAAATAAATTATAAACATTTATTTTTTTATAAGCTTAAAATAATTATTTCTTAAGAATATTTTTTATCTATATATTTATAATAATTAAAAATATGTTGCACTAAAATTTATTCTATATATTATTTTGTGACAAAGTAATTTTTGTTATCTTTATAGAAATTTTCCATTAAATTGTTTAAATAATTACTGTTAATGGTTAATAATTAAAACGTATTTTTTAGTAATAAATATATAGTTAAAATATTAAATTATACAACACTATTTTATTTATATTAAAAAATAATAGACAAAATTATACTGAATAAATTATAAACATTTATGATTTTATAAGCTTAAAATAATTATTTCTCAAAAATATTTGTTTATCTATATATTTATAATAATGAAAAGTATTTTGCACTAAATTTTCTTTTATATATTTTGTGACTAAATGTAAGTAATTTTTGTTATCTTTACAGAAATTTTCCATTAAATTGTTCAAATAATTACTGTTAAAAGTTAATAACAAAGACGTATTTTTAGTAATAAATATATAGTTTAAATGCAAATTTACATGACGGGATTTTGCAAAAAAGTGTTTGTTTGGACTTTGATAATAATAATTTAATACGATTTTATAATTTATATATAAATTTATATATATATATATATATATAATTATGATAAACTAAATAAATATTATAAATTTTATATATGAAATATTCACCAAGTTTATTTACATTATTATTTAACACTAATAATTAATAATGTTGAATTTATTATTTAATAGTTACACAAAGCCACATTATTATTAATGTAAACTACACTTTATAACATTTTATGAATTATTAATTTATATTTTAATTAATTTATTATTATTTTTAATTATTTATTATTTTTTTGTATATCAACACTTATATATTTAATATGAGCACTTTTTAGTCTTATAAATAATTAAAGCCACTTAGCACAGTTAATTTTAATAACACTATTATTATTTAATTTAATTATTATTGTTTATTATTTAAATATTATTTGTTCGTATTTTGTTATTGTTTTTTTTTTAAAAAAAAAAACAATAGATGTTTATCGATTCGTGGTCGGTGAGAGACTGATTCAATTTTCGATCTTTCGATCTTCACACCGATGGAGATCTATATAGATTCATGTATATATATATATATATATATATATATATATATATATGTCTAGAAAATCATTTATAAGTGAGTCACCTCCAACGATCTATTATTTATAAATGATTTGTAAATTTGTTTTTCTTCTATTAAACATGATTATATATACGGTGGAGGTTGCAGTCAAGGTTAATTTAATATATAAATAAATATATATATATTTATATGTGTATATATGTATATATATATATATATATATATATATATATATATTTCTTACTAATATCTTGAAATAAAATCATAAAAATCATTTATATTTAATTTAAAGGACGCTTTGCAGAAGCTCGTTATATCACTTTACTTTGAGATACAAATATTTGGTTTTCGCTTGTTAAGTTCAAAATAATCTGCAATAGTTTCTAGAATTATAAGAAGCCTTATAGCAATTTGCTGTACTTATAAATCTCTCACAAATTAATATATTGGTAGAATAAAATTTTTAAAAATGTCGAGAAGTTCACACAATTTGCCTTAGGTATAGACAGTTATTCAATTACACGTTTTGACATACATATGTGTCATCATGCAACCCAAAATAAAATAATAAGAAAATTTAATTAAAATAACAATGAATATTAGTTTATAATTTAAACTGCTGTAACTATATTTATTTATCATAATTATTTAATCTAGTCATTGCATTTGTCGTGTGTCAAATAAATTAACACGAAATATTTTTCTGCGATTTAATTAACGTGAAATAAATGAACTTCATTAACTTGTCAAGTACAAAAGTTTGTCTCACTAATTAAATAAAGTGAAAAGTTATAAATATTATTAACGCTTCAACTTTATTGAAAATTTTCTAGAAATAATCCTTTATAACTTGTCAATAAAGTTAACTTATAATTAGAACTGTAAATAACTAATAAATTTATATGCGTTTTAAAAATATTTTAAATTTATATTTGTTTAAATATAAACAAATTATTTTAATTACATATTTTAATTACAAAACAGTTCTGATATTCATACCATAATATTTGGAAATTTAATTAACCATGTTTAATTAAAATTAATTCATGTATTTTGATAGTGTTGATGGAACAAACCATAGTCTCGAAACGTCTTTAACACTGTAATTTATTAAAATAATCCTAAACGATTATTCGGATTTTGATAAATCCTTCTGAAGTTTGTTAAGGGAATTTTCTAGGATTTTTAGATTCATAGAAATACAGTTAGATCGTAGAAATAAATGGACAAAATTACAAAAAAACGCTTATCATTGATTGACATTGAAAATATTTGAGGCATTGTTTGACATCAAAAACAAATGAAGACTGTCATTTGCCTAACATTTCAATTCACTTATAGACTAAGACAATATTAAAATATAATAGGCTAAGACATGGGTACAGGACAACGTCTGTCGGGCCATCTAGTATATATATATATATATATATATATATATATATTTCTAAGAATTTAGATAAGATATATCACGAGAGATGAAATAAATTAAAAGTCGTATTTGTTTTTCTTATGTAAATTTGATAAAATATTTTATTTACAAAGCACGGATCGCGGAACTAACAAAAAAGATGAGTTTATTGTCCAAAGAAATA